CAAAAATCACAACTACTACAGCAAAACGGTGCCAATCTTTATACTCCCATTACAGATTAAAAAATAACTATATAAAAAAAAAGATTAATTTAGAAGCAAACAGAAATAATAAAGACACATATTGCACGAAGAGGAGAGACTCAACAAAGCAGTTAATGGTTTGAATTAAATTCAGACAGTGGTAGGACTTAAATACTTTATCAGTACAGGACAGCACACAGGCTGCAGTCCATTGGGAACACAGGAACACCGCTGTTAAAACATATCACTGCAGCTTCAGACCAGGAACTTAGGTCTGGTTCTAGAATCACACTGAAGCCCCCTTAATTAGCTCCATTATAAATTCATAACTGCTCATCCCAGCAGCGCAATCAAAGGCAGATGCAAACACTGTTAGCCACATGAACCCTGGCTGCTCCACAGACTACTGCAATCAATGTGCTTTTAGCCCAGCTGGGTGAGGTAAGTTATCTAGGTTTGAGTGATTTTTGACTTCTCAGCAAATTCCTTGATATTTCTAGTGGATGTATCACCACATTTTAGGGCAACCTTGAAGACATCTCTATTTTTTCCTCCTTTAAAACTGCTGGAAAACACTCCTTCCTTGATGAAAACTCAGAGAAAATACAGAAGTTTTGCTTTTCATCATTAGCAAAAGCACAAAAGGACTTGACATCGAATATGTGAGGCATTCTGCAATTCTTACGTGAATAAAGCATTAGACTTACTGGGCTGTCAAACAGTCTTGACCTTTGAGCCTCAAACCAAGCACGACAACTGAAGGTTCTGTTGAACTCAGGTTTGCAGCAGAAACAAGTGAAACGGCATTGGTGACACTTATGCAGTCAAATATACTAAAACAGGAATACTTAAACAGAAAAAAAAAAAAAAAAAATCTGTTTTTTCCCCCCACATGAAATTCCATTTTGCATCCCCGACTTCTCATTCTTTCCCAGCTGAAACTAGTACAATTCTTTGGAGTAGCTACAGTGTGGTTAAGCAGAGGAAGCTATGCTTGTTTGCATGGAATCTGCTATTTCCTCCCTGCCAAAACACTTGTTTAAAGAAGTCATGTAATATTTCTATTAAGCTGTAAATGCAGTTGACAAGGAAATGGCCTACTGGCAGTGCATTACCTTTGTGGCAGTGCCAACCAGCCTACAGCAAAATAGTGCACATGGTAATTTCAACATGCATTTCCAAGTAACAAAATTGTGCCTTACATAAATACCACAGAACTCCAACAACATCTAGAAAAAGCAATGAAAATTTGCCCAAGCTTTCATGCTTGCCTGTATCAATTCTATGTCATAACTAAAACAAAGTAGGAAAGCATCTACATATGTCCAAAAGTCCTGTGAAGCTATATCATATGACACTGGGAAAACTATTGCAACTTAAATCTGTGTACTTCTTGTTAACCACTGTAACAACTGACTAATAAAAATTAAGAAAAACTGTAGGTATCAAATATACAAAAGAGTACTAACTGCATGCAAGCCCTTAAAAACCATAACGTAATTTATTAACAAGAACACATGTTCTATGTAATCCAGAATTGTTGTGTTAAATTACCTTGGCCTTTGATAGCATTCATTTGATTACAAGAATTAAACAGATTCACAAGCTTACAAACTCAGTGACCTTTGATTTATAAGCAGCTATTGTCATGCATATAAAAATCCTCTCTGATAACACAGTCCTCACCTTTCAACAGCTAGTGCAATGACATATAATGTTAAAATTAACTCAGATGTAATTAAAACATTTTCATTAAAAGTACATCCAAAAACCCCAGCATGATCAAGTATATTTAATTTGTAATCAATAGTTCTTCAAAATATTTTTTAAATGTTATTTCATCTTAAATTAAATTTCCATCAAAAACAAGCTTCAGAGATACTTATTTTGTTCTCAGCTTGCATCTGAGTATTTTCAGTTTCAATAGGAATTTTAAAATAGTTAATTACACAGAAAAAAAAAATATGGTGCAGGAAAATCACTAAGCTTTGCTTCCAAAATTACGTAATGTTTCTAATTGCAAAACACCCACTAGCTTTAACTGAGCTACACATTGCCATAAAACTTCAGGAAACATCTCTGCTCCAAAAAGCACACACAAACAAAAATCAAGAACCCAACAGCACTAAACACATTTGAATTCATATGTGTCACCTCACAGTAATTGTATATGAACAGTGCCTTCTCTTTCAACAGTGGTGACTTCCTTATATTAAGATCCTGATATATGAGGCACCAGCAAAAGAAAACTGAATAAAATAATCTAGTATGCATGCCATTTTTGCAGCAAATCACATAGATGAAAAAAAAATATATGCTTTTAGCAATATAAAGTGCCTTATTAATACCAAATGGGCTCTAGATATAAACAATTCAAGAACAGAGTATTTATTGATGCTCAGTGCAATCAGTGTAGCTACTCTATAGTTCACTTCAAAAAAATAAAACCACGACTAACAGTGGCAACAGTTATTCCTAGATAAACACTGTTCCCCATGAATCTCTCCAAGTAATTCCCTTATAGCTGCCACGTCTCATAAAGCAACTAATTCTATTTACATTTTATTTTGCAAAAAGTAAACTAGTTCAGTAACAGACTTTAAGAGCCAGTAATAAATATAAACTGTCAGGGGTTACTAATATTAGCAGTGCTCACACAGGACAATTCTGAATCCTTCTTTAGGTCATCTTTAATTCAAAACTCCCTTTCAAAGGAGGATGGCCTCTTGGTTATGGAATTCTCCAAGTGTAGGTAACAGTATGGAATAGGCTCTATAAGTTGCCTTCAAGTCAGTTAAGCACTGTTTCAGCTCTCTCAAGTGGAGATAAAAGCATTCTGAAACCTTACAGAGACATGTTAAAACATAGGCAAACTGCAGTAAATAGGAAGCAAGACAGCAAGTAAAAATCTTTACTCTTAAAATCTTTGTCCATAAATGCACAGTTTTATGATTCCAGTATTACTTTTTTTTTTTTTGACGGGGGAGGGGGTGCAGAGGTTTAATACAACAAACAAGAAAATACCACCACACACACTTACCCTCATTGGGTGAATATCAGCATATGGAGGCTTTCCTTCAGCCATTTCTATTGAAGTGATACCAAGGGACCAGATGTCCGCCACGCAGTTATAGCCAATCTCTTGTATTACTTCAGGAGCCATCCAAAACGGAGTTCCTATAACAGTATTACGTTTTGCCATTGTATCCTGTAATTATATTATTTGTGCAATTAAAACAGAGATGCTTATTTTCAGATTGTTTTGATATTAATTCTGTATTTAAAAGTTAAATTAGCAACCCAAAGGTCAAATGGTAGAGACTTCCAATTAAGAGCAAATAGATTCAGCCCATCAGCCTACAGAAGCCAAACAGGTGACAATGATCATAAACCTCAAATAAGAGTCTAAAGTGAGATCATCAGGCACTTAAAGTACACTGGGTTATAAAAATAAACAACTAAAAACTAAATAGCTTTGCAATACATTAAATACTCCTCATGATAACGTTAGCTCTACCACTAGTCACTCCTCAGACACAAAATTCAAGGCAGAAGAAAAGGACAAAAGAACATGGTTAGGAGCACTACAGCATTTTTAAATGATCTTTCCACAGGTACTTACTGTTAACTGGCCAGCCACACCAAAATCCGCTAATTTAGCATGTCCCTCAGTGTTAAGAAGGATGTTTCCAGCCTTTATATCCCTATGTATTTTTCTCATAAAGTGCAAGTATTCAAGTCCTTTAAGAGTAGATTTCAGAATAGTTGCAATTTCATCTTCTGTTAGCTGCAAGAAAACATAAAACCATTTTCAGCTACACCCATAGTCTATATATTTGAACTATTTAAAACATGATAATCTCATAACGATTACTATAAATAATACAGACAACATACCTTGGGTATTTTGACACAGAAATATGCCCAACATCATTCACAATTCAAAACTCTTATCTAGTAACTTGATCCAGATAGCTAGATTCATACAGGTCTACAGTCCAACTACAGCAAGCGAGATACAAAACTAGAGAAGGGGCTGACTGATGCATATCAGATGGCAGAATATGCAATGTTCTCTTGCCTGTCAGCAAAAGTTAGTATTCTTTAGATGTTGACATCCTTCATAAAGACTGCCGCACAGCTTCCACAATATACAACTAATATATTTATCACTAAGATCATACATACTAATTGCCAAGTTATGCATTACCTTTGTCAAAACAAAGATAATCGTGGTCACCATTGGACTAGACAGCACGTATCAGAATACTTCCCTGGAAAAAGAGATAGTGCTTCCTCTACTGTGGAAGGCTAGAGCTATTCCTCCAACTAGCACAGTCCTACATTTGGAAAGAGATGAAAGGAATGTCATGTTTTCTTTTTTTCTGCAGTTCCTACATATGAAATGCCTGCTAAGTCTATAATTAGTAGTATAAAGCTTTTGTCCACCAGCTATTCCTAACTGCACTACTATTAGTTTCTCATTGCTGGCAATTTACAAATTAGAGAGGATGAATTAAGAGCTTCTTCACAAGAACAAAAAAACCCACAAAACAGAAAGCAAGGGATAAAGGTGTGCAGAAAATAGTCAAGCAATTATTTATCACAAGGCTTGCAAAAAATATATTTATCAGGGATAGTTTGCTACTTCTTATCTGTAGGGAGAGAATATAACATGCAGAAATACAAATGTCCAAGCAGTTCCCAACTAGTTTACAGAATTTTACTGAAGTCTGCCAAGCCATTCCTTTTAAGGTTAGTGCCTTCGTTTTATATGGAATGTAAGTAAATGCTAATTATTGAAATTAAGTATTTCTCACTCTGCCTGTGCTCCACATTGACACAAAGCTGTAGAACTACACCCATACAGATGTGCCATAATGATCCTCCCAAAACCCTACTCAGCCCTGAAAAAGGACAACTAAGATGTCAGGGTGCTCTTATGCTGGAAGGGGTCAATAACTATTATCACTTGTTACTTTAACTGTAGACAATTACAGAAATTATTGAGAATGGATGGCAATCAGATGCTATGGGTTTCTTCTTACAATGCTCTTTTCTTGTTGCTGACTGATGCATAGAATGAACTTCTGGATTCTTTTTAAATCACCTGCATCACTCAACAATTGCTAGATGATATCCTCACAGGAAAATGAAATCAGATTGAACACACGGCTCTTCAATTTCAGCCACAAATACTGTGTTTTTTTAAAATCTCTACCAACAATGCTAATTAGTTTGCTGTCTATGCAAAGGTTTCCTGTTAGTTCTTGTGTAGCTATGAGCTACACATGAGCTATGCTATAATATATCGTGTTACTATTACACTATAAAGTTGTACAACTGAACTAACAAAAATCTTAACATAGCTGGCCCTGAATATATTTTATAAAACAAGCCACATTTTAGTAAGCACAGCTACCACTATGTGTAACATGTCAGCCCACAACTTTCAAAGTAGTTGTAGCCTGTTAATATCTTCTGGTCTCTAAAATACATATTCCTTTACAGACATTTACCAGCGTATAATACTATTTTCTACAGCCATGCTGAATTTTTAACAGGTTTCTTTATGTTCTTTAATAACAGCATAGCCTTCAGTTACTTCTGAGAATTAAGGTAGAAGAGTTGAGGCTCTTTAGAACTTCAGAGTTCCTGAAGTCAACAACACATTTTGCAGAGTTACACTGAGCTCCTTCACATCATGTTTGCTGTTTCTTCTTCAGTCAGGATGAACAGAAAGGTACTCCCAAAACAGTCAAGTAACTGAATACAAACTGAGAAACAAAATTAAAAAATTGAAGATGGGGGGGGGGAAATCGCAACAGGGATATTTATTGAACTCTGTAAAAGCATCACAAAGGAAATACTACAAACTCTTTTGCTTGCCTTTTTTTTCTTTTTTTTTTTTAAGCAGAGCAGACAAACTTCAGTTTTAAAGCTAAAAAACCCAAATTATCAGTGATTAAACACCTACTATAAAGAGGTGGTGTAGACTGGGCAGTCCAAAATGCTTCTCTTATTTACTACTTTAACATGTTGCAGAATTCATATACTATCACAAATGATACAGTAAGCTGCAAGTATCAACTGGCAACAGATATTTCATTACCAAAGAAAATACAATACCGTAAAAAAAAAAAAAAAAAAGAGATATCTTTTCATTTATCTGCCTCATAAACTACGTGGACTACTGACTAAGTCATCAGTTAGCACAGTTGTTTATCTGCATTGCTTTAGATCAACGTAACAGTGATAAACAAGCTCCTGAACAAGTGTTATGAGAGAAACAGTAAGAATGAATCTTTTGCAGGTACCAGACACTCTGAGAATGCTTCTCAGATTTTCATCAACATTCATTCTGGAATAAAAGCAAAAACACACACACAATTCATTCCATGCAATCCAATTTCTCAAGGAAATACAAAGAAACTATTTGTGCAACTGAAATGCTGTTCAATTACAGTACATCGATGCTTTAATATAAGAACTAAGCAAATGAACTTGACACATTCTTAGAAATGCAAGAAACTGCAAAACTGAAGATAAGTACTCTGATTTGGCTGCAACATTGGGTTGCACTTTTCCCTTCTTTCTCTATTTTTCCAATTCCAGATAGGAATTAAATTAAGCAACAGCAATTCCTTCCAGTTTTAGTTTTGACAGTGTTGGTACAAATTTGCACCTCCCTCCAAAAAAAACCACCACCAAAAGCCCACAAGAAACAAAAAAACCACTCATAATCACTCTAAGCCAACAGAATGACTCAAGAGAAAGGAAAAAATGCTTAGTCAGCAAGATTATCTGCACTTGAGTTGCTCATAACAAGTTTTAATTATTTAACAAATAGAACCACTTCCCTATTCCAGCTCCTATCCAGTCTCATAAAACCTGGGCGTGGAGCCCAAGGGCGCAGTTGCACATACATTTATTTAAACAACAGTGCCAAGCTCCAGTCCCTCCTTTCGCTGCAACCTACAGCAGTAATTCCCACTGTCTGTCAGCCCTTCCACCGAACAACTGTAACTGACCCTAGTTAAAAATAAACTTGTGTGCCAAATTATTTTCCCAATGTATCAGCTCCCTGATTCAATTCATGGCATAGTTAACAACAATGTAGCAGAGTAGGAGGTGCTCAAATTGACATTACTTTCCAAACAAGTATGTGTGTTGCTATACCCAAAGAGTCGCAGTGACTTCCATAAACCTTCCCCTGTGCAAGCTGAGGATGAAATTGATGGTGGCATTAGCTTCATGCTCCACAACGAGCAGTTACCGCCTCTGCAAGGCATTACGCATTCCTTGCTTGCCAGTTATCTCCAAGATGTTTCAGTGTTTCTATTCAGTAGCACACTGCTCAAAGCCTTTATTTGTGTTACTTTATGCTGACTGATGTGCTGCTTCAAAGGACTGTACGCCAGGAGAACTGAAAGCCCTGTTACGCACAGGTCAAAGACCACCGCTTTCCTGGTATTGTGCCAAGGGAGTAAAACCATCTACCTGATCTGGAGTCAAGCAAAAAGGGACTTTAAAATCAACCGTAAGACAAACTTAAGTATGGTCAGAAGGATATCTGGAGCAAGAGACAATCCTCATTATGTGAGCTACTAAATTTGTGGTGAAGTACGCTAAAACTGTAATTATCTGAGGACTCACACTACAGGCAATTTCAGCTCTGGCTATGAACACATACTGTAACATGAATGGTTTATGACATACTGAGTGTAATGCTTTCTGCCAGAGTTTTGCCAAATCCACCTCAGTTCAGAAACAATACAAAGTCCTGAATCTCCAAAGACTTCCATGCAGCTAATCCTGAACATGCATCAAAAAACAATCCCAAGCACTGACAAATGTATAACAAGATAGGCATACAACTTGCTGCTCCCTTTCATCTAGAAACAACTATTCTGAGAAACTGTGCTCAGAAGGCTCTGCAGAGAAAATGTCTCTTCAATATGTTGTGTTCCTAAGGAGATAAATCCCTAGTTTTAGTTCTTGAAAAATCAGTGGTTAAACCACATGGAGATCTTTGGATCAGCTCTAGATGGAGAAGTGCTTTTGCAGCTACATGGCAATATCCAGCTCTCAAAAGGAGAGGATAAGAGAACATCCCTACTAAAAGGTATACAAAGAAGCTATGGAATGAGAAACCAGCAAACCAGCAGAGAGTGAGTTCCAGAATACTGCAGCCTGATACACCACCTGGGGACCACCAGTAAACGAAAGCTCTAGCATGGCTACAAGCTACAAAAGTAAGAAGTATTCAAGTAATATCAAAATACACACAGTAGTCTGAAAAGTCCATAGAAGTGAACATCACCTATAAGAAGTAAGCAGAGAGCACAAGTCATGTTTATCAGGAACAGCAGTAACAGGGAAGCCCAGGGAAAAAGAAGGGAGAACAGGCTTAGTCAACCGTAAGTGTTCTGAGACACATCAATCCCAACTCCGGATCCATCCTCCTGTGCTTCATAAAATACGTGTATGTATGTATGCATACACACACATATATATATAATCATCATTTATGTAACACGACGCAGTCACTAAAGTAACTCCTGCTTATATTATTGCTAAACACAGCCAAGTATATGCATGATAATACACAGACAAAATATTCAGCTTTAATATCTGAAAATATTTAGAAGGACACAATGAATTTCCAGACTAACTCAACAAGCCAAGAAAGTACACTCACCTTCCCTAGACAAAATTACCTTTTCAGAAAAGAATGTACTGCCATATTGAACATTAACATGTAATCACAAAAAAACCACTTTAAAA